TAAAGTTACATAGAAATTATATATCACGCAAATATTCTACATAAAATTATCTAAAAAAATGATTTTACAGCTTGTGTCTGTCTTTTATGGTTAACTCACAATAGCACGTGTAACTCCTGATAGCTTAGCAGTTCGTCGCAATTGAACACTGAATCTTGCTATAAGCTGTATAAACTATAATATAAGTAATATAATAGGTTTTATGAAATATGTGTAATACTTATCTACTTATTAGTTAGATCCGTACCATTCTATCTATAGCCGACGGACGGACCCATAAAAATGAGACAAGTTATAACAAATTTTATGTATAATTCGATTTTGCTTTTTATCAACAGAGCACGCGGGCGAAGCCGCTGGCGGAAGCTAGTCACAAATATACTTTAATTTTTCTTCAGAGTCTCCAATTCGATGTCGTCGACTATGCTGCCAGTATAAGTGGTAACGACAGAATACTGAATTGTCACTTTGTAGTAGTTTGTAAATATATGTATACCATACCTATGGGTGACCTAATTTAATTATTATACCTAGGTTTGATAATTTAATTTGATTAACGGTTTATCTTTATATATAAAAATGGATCGCAAAATGTGTTCGTAAGCGCATAACTCAACAATACCTGGACCAATTTTGCTAATTCTTATCAAAGAAAATATTAGAAAAGTAGAAGGGAAGATTAGGAAAAAGTGACCCTTTGATAGCGAGATAGTTGGACCCGTGCGAAGCGGGGGCGGGCCGCTAGTTTTTATTACAAAAAAACGTTGCACGACACTGCGTCATACACATGACACCCAGACCCGGAACAATAATTTGTGGATCACACAAAGAGTTGTTCCATGCGGGAATCGAACCCGCAGCCCGTTGCACATCAGCCAGTTGCCCAGCCACCGCACCAACCGTGTAGTTTAGTGGTAGGTTGTAACATATTACTTAAAACTATAACTGCTTACCAATATTTTTTTTTCAATATTAGTCACATATAACCAGCCTTTAGCTTCCACTTCTGAGCAAACTCCTGTTCTCACACGGAGGAGGTTTCAATACGCTCAAGGCGCATTGGTAATTTCAAAAAGTCCAGACTTTTCTTATTTTCACCTATAAATATGATCTTAATCTAATATCTATAATATAAAGATCTCTTTAATACATTTAACAGATCTTAGTCACTAATCCGTAATCTATCTATAACTTTTCTTGAAGGAGTAAGTTATCCAATGACCTCTACCACCTTGGGAGGGCGAGAGGGAGGGTAAGATTCTTACTAACTGGAAACCAGTCTGTTCTATAAATCATTGAGCTTACACCCGCAAGCCGACATTGGCCCTAGTGGGCCCATCAGTGATCATAGCTTTGGAGAGCGGAAAACTCGACGTACCTATGAATTTTTTAGCTAATAAAATACGTCAAGTTTATAGTAAAGATGACATACGGGACAAAAGTGTGTAAAAATACTTGCTTTAAATACATAACTACGCTTCTCATAAAAAGTGTGTCTGTTTTTATTATTATTTTACGATTAAATATTATATGTCGCTTAATAGTGAGTTTTATGAGGTTATCAAATTCTAATGTTATTGTTCTAAATTCAAATTAAAGTAAGCTTTGTGTTTTTTTTCTATCATTCTATTTTGTATGGAGAACGAAGGTGATGAATGAAACAATTAAGACACGTACCTAGGTAAAAAAAGGAAACACTTTTGTTAAAGAAAGTTTGATAACTAGTGTTCCTCGAGCTCATATCACCGCTTCCATCCGGTTCTTCATCAATCGAAGGAGTTACAATGACATGCTGAGTGATGTTCTCCCATTCTTCCTGAATGGCACTTTTCACCTGGTCAAAAGAGTCTGGGACGTGATTTCTTGCTCGGATTTGCTCTTTAATTGATCTCAGAAATGTTCAATAGGATTCATGTCCGGGCTCCTTGCTGGCCATTCCATTATAAAGATATACTGACTTCGGAAATCGTGTACGATGCTCGCAGTGAGGGCTTTGGTGTTGTCGTGAATAAATGTGAACACATTGTCGATAGAGTGTGCATAGGGCATCACGTGAGGCTCAAGGCTAGCCAAGCCCATACAAGACAATCTCTGTCTTACCGACGACGCTGATTCCTTCCCAAACCGTCCACGAACCACCACCATAGCTGACCCATTCTTTAATGCAGCATTGTGTGAGGCCGGGGTATCACTCCGGTCGAGCCGACTCATTCGTGCCGAATCATGGCTCTCCTACACTTAGCATGGCTCTCTTACACTTAGCATGGGTCACACTCCCACACTTGTTACAATAAATCGATCATCTTTCTTAAAAAAAAAAACTTTGCCCCGCTTTGGGATTTTCTCGTGTGTTGTGGGTGCTTTTACAAACATATAGTCACATACACATGACACCCAGACCCGAAACAACAATTTGTTGATCACACAAAGTGTTGTTCCGTGTGGGAACCGAACCCGCGACACGTTGCCTCCTTATCAACGAGAATCTCTCCTATAAAGCACACTTCCAAAATTTATCAGGTCGAGTCAAAAAACTAATATACATTAAATTCTTTGTACAGGGTGTAGACACCCTGAATCTGAAAGAATTTGTGCTGCGTGTCCGTCAACTATTTATCCTTAACGCATACTTACACGAACACAGATCCCTGAAAGAAAGACCAGACTACACTCACTTCAAAACATGTATTCAAAATCCCAAATACCACGCACTACTTCTGACGATGATGACTTCGACGATGCCCGGTAAGGACCCCAAAATACAGGCCTCGTACTTTGGGACCGCCGCCGTTCCAAAAAGCAATGTCCACTACAACACTAAGTGACAACAAATAATTGTATCTAATAGTAACTTAATTTTTAGGCAAATTTTATGTAACTGTGGATAAATATTTTTAGTTATTATACTTTGTACTAGCTTTTGCCCGCGACTTTGTTCTTTGTTCGCGTGGAAAAGTAAAAACCATCCTAAGTATGTCCTTTCTCGAGTTCCAAACTATGCACACAAATAAGTTTAGTAGTTTAGGCATAAAGAAAAGACAAACAGACAGATAGAGTTAGTAAGTAAGTTACAATATTAGTTTGGATGTTCTTTCCTTTCATGCGATCACAGGATCCCGGACCTTTGGAAGGCGTACGAGAGGCCGAAGCCAACTCGTAGAGGTCCGTGTTTTAATCTTAATGAGATGGGACATAGCTGGCAATTTTCCCTGTATGCACTATAAAAGTAAAAAAACCCAAGGGCGATCCCCGGTTGATGCAGGTATATTGTGCAATATGGTAGAAAATTAAATGGTTATGGATTTTTTTTGTGAGGGAGAAATCATCAAATGACTTCTCCCGCCCAGGGCCGGGCGGGAGGAAGTCATCATCATCATCATCATCAGCCTATAAATGCCCACTGCTGAGCAAAGGCCTCTTCTCATACTGAGAAGGTTAGAGCATTAATCACCACGCTTGCTCAATGCGGGTTGGTGATTTCAAACTTATAATTAGAAATTATAAGTCCAGGTTACCTCACGATGTTTTACCTTCACCGTATGTCAGTGCATGGTGTCTAAATAATCATAGAAAGTACATATAATTCGGAAAAAGTCACATTTGTACTTGTCAGGTTTCGCACCCACACCCTCATGCATGAGAAGCGGGCTGCTTAACCTCCGAAGTAACCACCTGGAGGAAGTGTCAGACTCTTACTGACTAAAAGCCCTGTTCCTTCTCCTGCTCTGGGCTGAGGTCGCGGTGGTGCTTACCACGTAACCCAGGCTGAAATGGTTATGGGTGTGGGTGGCTATGGACTGGTAGATGATAACTATGGAAATACTATGGCCCTGACCAACTTTGCGTGATACATAGGGATAAATAAGCAGGGGGTGTCTGGCAAACTCAATTATTGGACCCCCGGAAACGGCCACTAGCATGTAACGTTATGGTTATATCGTCATTGCACGTTGGCAACACAAAATACGTTAAGCTGCTTGGGGAAGCAGAGGCATGCCACGGCTATCAAAGCAATCCCGGAAGTACCATCAACACCTCTACCAGCATCTTACTGAAATACATCCTTCCCTCGTGTCTCTTTCGTCTCATCATCATAACTATAATTACATAAAATTTAGCGACTACCTCATTTAGATAATAATTATGTGTAAGGATTTTAAACTACATCAATTCTAAAAATAACACGATAAATTAGTACGTCAATATTGTGGCGAGGGTTAGCAATGGTCAACAGTTGACCATACGTGTAAGTTACCTACATAAACATTGTTTAATAGTCTATGATGCGGTCAACAGTGTTGCCATCTACATTTAGTTTTTGGGTTGTATTCTCAAGATTAGATGTATCTAATATTCAAATGATAAATTTAATAAATAAACTAAAAATAACACTATAATCTATACCTAACAACACTTAAAGTGTATTTGTACTCAATTAGTTATAAGTTATATAAGCCTACCTACATAAAAATAATGAAAAATTATAAACATATATTCATACTAGCCCTCCTCATAAAAAATACTAATATTGTTATGCCCGACAGGGCCCACAATGCTTCTATACTAATATAAGTATATAAATCCTTTTGTACCCTACCACCTAAGTTCACATTGTGGAATGCAATAAATATATTGAGTATAGTTCAGCGTTGACAACTATTGCAAAAATGCAAGCCAACAATGACCGTATAAGGCAAGTCAATGACCGAAATAGAAAGAGCGAAGAGAAACTTTCAAACACAGATTATACTCTACTACAGACTACAGATTAATTAAAATTTGTTTTAAAATTACTTGATGCAATTTGATTAATGTTTGCAACTTTAAAGTTCCTAAAGTTGCGTTTGTATGTGTATCGAGTATCACTTAAATCGGTTTAGATAATAGTTCTCATAATTTCTATTTTAAAAATTTGTATGTAAACCCGTATCATGCATATTAACTTCTACTCTATACCGAACAGCATACTAACAAAACTACCGTAGCACGAATCGTAACTACGACGAGTTTTGACATAAAAGACGGCCGCCATTTTGTTCAATCACATTCATTTGTTTAATTTTCTACGTATGCTACGTCGTTTGTGTTAGTTCGGTGCATTGAATAAGCTGTTTTTTTTAATACCTATATAACACGCGTAGCCTAGGAAATGCAAGGTACAGAAGAAGGTAAGTTCTAGTAAAAACTTTCTAACTACCAATTTATAAGTGACTTGTGTTGTTTTAAAATAATTTAAAATAGATCAACGTTTTGTAGAAGTTATTATAGTTTCAAACGTGCCTATACTTTAATACTTGTATTATGTGTGCATACTGCATGTGGAATACTAACATTTGTATTAAGAATATACCAATTGTTTATGTTAAAACCACATTAAAAGAGTTTAGTTGCATTGCACTAAAAAAGGAAAGTTAAAAAAAACATACTACTGCAAAACAGAACTGATAACAACAACTTGCTGAATTAAGGTCGTTTTACTTTTCTATTCGAATTTCTTTTGTTTTTAATTTTATAGATTAGATAGGTAGGTAGGTAGTCTTAGAAGAAAACATTTCTTAATTTTCTAAAATTATTTTATATTGTAGAACTTGCAAGCTATTTTATAGCCTACTAGCGGTCGCCCGCGGCTCCACCCGCTGGCACGCCCGCGTCTTTTTTACACTTTTCAAGATTTGTTTTAAAATATTCTTGGACTTCCATGAATAAATCAAGACCAAAATTTTCCCAAATTGGTAAAGGCATTGTTGAGTTATAACATTACAACGAGAAGTGGCATTGTTTTTTATATCTTTATATACATAACTAGCGGCCCACCTTCGCATGGGTCCAACTATCTCGATACTATCAAAGGGACTTTTTCCTAATCTTCCCCTCTGCTTTTCTAATATTTTCTTTGATAAGAACCTTCTCCTGACAGTAACAAACAACAAAAAAAGAATTAGAAAAATTGGTCCAGGCGTTGTTGAGCTATGCGCTTACCAACACATTTTGTGATCCATTTTTATATATAAAGATACTGCTGTACACATGCATGTAATTTACTGAACTCCTCCTTAACGGCTTGACCGATTTAGATTGATTTTTCTAGTCATTGCAGTCACTTAAAAAAATAAAAAAAATAATTGAATATTTATTTTAAGAGACTGGTGCAATAGCTCTATAGGAAGAGAGAGTGTGAATAATTTCATAATTTTATTAAGTAAAAAACAAAATATATATTTTCAGCAGACCTTAATTCAGTGTTGTAAACGTTCCATCCTTATCTGCTGCAGATTAAGGATACCCACAGAAAGCATTGCCATCTGCATGTAGATGTAAAATAAAGTAGACCATCAAAGCTATGCTGAAGTAGTATGAAGTTTGCCAGGCCGTCTAGTATATAATATATACCAGTTGACCCGGGTAGCTACTAATTTCTGCATTCCTAACTATACTTATGTTTGTTTGTTTCATTACAGAAGCTCAAGCAAAGTCTCGCAATGATGAGGACTCCATAAATTTTAGGCCCTCGCCAAACTTCAAGCATATGAAAAAATATTTAAAATCCAAATTTGAAGAATCTAATCAAATGTCAGAACAGTCATCTCCTACTGAAGTGACCAATGCAACAATGCGTACGAACAACCAAGAAGAAGTAAAGAGTAATGCCAATGTGCAGCCTCCACTGCCTCCTAATCCTCCACCACCTGATACACCACCTATGATAATAAATTTAAAACAGGAGATTGTGGATGATGAGTATCAGAACAATGATACTAAATCTCAAGAATTCATCCAAACAGATGAATTGAAAACAACAATTAAAACGGACCAATCGGAAACAGCAGAAGAGCCAAAAGTTATAATGTGCCGTAATTTTGTGCGAGGGACTTGTAAAAAAGGAGCAGCCTGTATATTTGCTCACAAATTAATTTTATCACAACTACCTGAAGTCTATACATTTTGCCGGAACTTCCAAAATTCTGCGTGTACTTTCCCAAAGTGCAAGTTTGTACATGCAACTGTATTCGAGAAAGAATACTTTTTCAGATCAGGCTATTTGCCTCCACACACATTAGCACATCTTAAAGAGAACACTGCGCCACAACCAGTTCCATCACCACAAACTGAAGGTAAAAAAGCTTTATAAAATCACCTAACTAAAATATGAATAGTATTTTAAGTTTTAAACAATTTAAAAATATTGCAAAAACAATTAGATTGTGTGTGTATTTTTAAACCATTTCTTTTTTTTCCTAGAAGCACCTGGAATTGCACCAGCAAATGTATATCCTTTGGGGTTAGCACCTCCGCCACCACCATCTAAGCCATGGTTAGTATTTTATTGATAATTCATTTATTCTTCTTATGGTGTCATAAAGACCCATAAAGAAATATGTGTCCCATAAAGACTGACAAACATAAGTTACTGCCTGCAACATTAATTTGGTACTGCAGTGGAATTATTTGAAAATAAATAATAATTAATTAAGTAATAAAAAGTAAATATAGGCTTTCCTCTTTTTAACTAGACTGTGATTTAAAAGATTAGTTGAATATAATTAAGAAATCTTAATTTCAACTAGTGACCTAAGCTGTATTTGTTTCAGTGTGGTTCCCACTCATCTAAACTATGCAGTTCCTGATTCGACCTGCAACATGTACAGGACGCCTGTTATAGGCCAGAAACGTGATTGGGGTGGTGATGAACATGAAGGTATGTACACACACACTGTACTCGGCATTACTGCGAATGAAACAACTTCTTACTTCATGTATTATTGTTAGAAGCAGTTTATTTTTAAATTTGCTGTTTTTTAAAACAAAATCTGAAAACATAAATAAAGCAATAAGTTCCTGCCACAAATGAAATTGAATAATATGAAAGTAATTTTTTCTTATATTTTTCTGCTCAAACTGCTGGGCCAAAGCTATATAATTTACTACAAAAATAAATTGATAGCTGTGGACATATTTAGAACTTCTTTTAATATTTATATGTTTATGTAATGATTCTTGCCAATATTGTCACCATCTGCAGCCAAAAAGCGCGACCGAAGCCGTATTTAGTATCGTAACATTGCTCTTGTTGCTGATTTTATGTTAAACTATATCAACATTTTCCAAATTATTACAAAAGAGGATTGTAGTGCCTGTGTTAATCACTGTATATTCGAGTGTTTTTTCTATTAAATACACCATCACTATTGCTCTATGCTCCAGAACACGTCTTTACAGTGTTCACAAAAAAACAACCTTTGCGAATAATACCAATTAAAATTTTATAACGTCAATCTGAAATTATCCTAGCTGTGCCTAAACCAACATAAATGTAAAAGAACATTAAGGAACACTATTTAGCCAAAAATATAGCGATTTACACTAAAAGTGTCTGCATAAATGTCCTCTTCGTACAGAAAAGTTTTATTATTATAATATCATACATATGTTGCAACACAATTTTCTATGTGCAGAATGCAAACGTACAATTGCTTTGTATTGTAAATAATTTTATAGTGTCAAACTAAACTACCGCAAAAATATATTTTGATATATTAACAAGCAAGAGTATTTTAATAAAATTGTATAGAGTTATTTATAACTTTGCGCATATGCCGAAATATTTAAACTATTTAAATCCATTCCTTGCTTCTCGAATGCAAATATTAAACTAAGTACTAAACATATTTTGCAAAACGAAACACTAAACAAAACTAAGATTTACATGCTATATATGGAATCTCATGCATTGCAAACGTTTTGTGCATTAGCTAACATCTGAACAGTAATTTATGTTGCTTAATTCTCATTTCTATAAGAACGTCATCAGGTTTCCAATTATAGAAGACACAATGGCAAACACTTACTAGCTGAGAGTGAAAGACAACATGATACAAGAACAGAAGTTTATAAAACTAATTATCATTAAATAGAGTTATTGTTGTTGAACTGAAAGCAAGTTTTAGAGTATACAATAAACAGTGCATTATTTAGAGAAATGCTGATTGCTAAATTTCGACAACAACCATTGTAATAAGGTACATTTTCATAAAATACGGTACTTGACAAATTTTTGAAATAGTTTTTAAATGATTATTTTCTGTTTAAAATGTATCTTACTGCGAAATTCACAGTATAAAGGATAACATCTATTTTGAAATTTAAATTACAAAAACGCGGCAGAAATGCTCTGGTCGTCACGTAACGCGTGTGACCTCACACGCTAGTAATCAAACTCATCTTGAATAGTATAATATCTGACAGTGCATTGCTTGTTAATTAATATTATTTCAGTATTTATTGGAAGTTATGTCTTATAAATGGTGTGTGCCCTAACGTATAAATACCTCGATAAATACCCTAAAAAAGGATTTATTTCTATTCCTACGAATCCCAAAAGACGTAAATTGTGGTTATGGTTGGCGCGATGAGAGTAAAACAGTTTCAATGCATACAAAAATTATTATGTGCGAGTACACTTTTATGTAAGTAGTACTTAACTTTATACTTAATAGATACTACAAAAGGGAGTATATATTAGGTATAAAGTTATTTTTCTTATCTGGGCTACCCATAAATCTTTATAAACTTGCTTCATGTGACTCCATGGTAACAGTATAAATATGCGTATACTTCACTTGTATTCACATCATCAGCCTGTACGTACCCACTGCTGAGCAAAGGCCTCTTCTCATAAGGAGAAGCTTGACCATTAATCACCACGCTTACTCAAGGCGGATTGGCGATTTCAAACTTATAATTAGAAATTATACGTCTAGGTTACCGTGACGTCTAATCTAAAATTGAAGGATTTCAAAATGAAGTAATACGCGAATAATAATATAACAATATATAGGTATTATTATTGCATTTAAAATGTTAAACATACTGCACTTATTAAAAACTAATTATTAAAATTAAATAATATGTATGTGTCAAAAATCCCTGCCCCGATGATCATTTGTGGCGTGCACAAAATTTGGCTCCCTTTTTTAAATTGTAAACCTGGTATAACTAATGACACTAGTATAAAAATATCATGACAAGCATCAAAAATACTAATAGTTCAAGTGACAAGCATTAAAAATAACTTAGTAATAAAAAATACAGTAAATTCCTACGACAATCAATAGCACAAAACACTGTTTACTAGCGCGTGACGTCACGAGTGTTGTCACCAATCACAAGGTGTTTAATTTAAATTCACGTGGAAATATTAAAAAAGACAACTTTATTTTGTGAAATATGTAAAAAATATGTTTTTTTAGTGTCCATATTTCGTAGAGTATTTTGAATGTTGTCAAACACCGTATTATACCACATTTGGATATAGCACTACTTTGTCATGGTCAAAGAGGCGAGTTCCTTAATATGACTTTGTGTCAATAGGTATGATAAAAGTTCTATAACAAAATCCTGTCATACGGTTTTTTTTTAATTGGAGTTTAGTAGTACCAAGGAGGTCGCTACGTTACCATCCAGTAAAAATCTTAGTTTAGCCTTTTTAAGTTTTAGTCTTCTAGACTAACAAATAATACATAGTTACTGTCCCTATTATACTATTAGAATTATTACTGGCACAGTAAAATACAGTAACATTTCGGAATTCACCGATTTACTTTATAAGCTATAAGTATATGTAACTGATTAATTATATTTCCTTTTTCCTAAAATAAGGACTTGTCCATTAATTACATATGTTAGGATACTTTCCGAATTTATGACTTATCATCTGTGTAGGACCAATGTTTAACGTCTTGCAGCACTTTAAGACCATACTGTGCAGTGAATTTCAATACACATTACACAACCTACATATTATCATGTCAAAACTTGTCGTGCGATTTAGGCCCCCAAGAACTCATATTTCGTTTGTAATCGATCGTCACTTGTTTTCGGTCAACCAATTTTAATTAGGTATTGTCTATAGTATACATATTATAAAATACTATGTTTAAATTCTGAATATGAATACGCCATAAGGCATTCAGAATTTGAACATAGTATTTTAAGTATACTCATCCAGCAATTAGACAATTTTTATACGTTAGTATGATGCTCTTAACACTTATGTATTTGAACGATATTCGAGATATATTTTGGCCATAAATTTATGTCTTGGTGGCCTTGATTTTAACTTAAACAGGGCGGACTACAGTAAAATACTTTTATTTAACTTATCATTCGTCATTAATAAGACTTCATAACAGTTTTGCTGTAAATGTCTATTAATTCTCATAAATAAGCTACAAAACCAACCCGTAAACTTTTAATTTATTGAACTAAAGTTTTAATCCTTTAAACCTTCAAAAAAGAATGTTGGTAGCCTGCATCTATGTAGGTATACTGGCTGCGATTTGTTGAAAGGATTAAATTATTTTTGGGTCTGGGTATATCTCGCAGGTGGTGCCATAAACAACAAGTCAGGTTCTGAAAATGGAATCCTGGAAAAAACGAAGCCAACCCTCACATTAGTGTTGCTTATTATAAATAATTTTCATATTTTTGTTTTCATAAATTTAACGTTTGACTATTTTAAGACTAAAAATACACATGCGACTAATGTTAACAAACTAACGAAGAAAGGCAGTGATTTTAGTGGAAATTATTTATTTTCATCTATCTTATCACTCCTATTAAATGCCTACCAGTAAATAAAAGCAATACATTGATGAATCAAAATGAGACAAATGAATGAATGAAAATGAGCAAATGATTGTTTTATTAAACAGAAACTAAATAACGCCACATCACTATTGTAAAATCTATTGTGGGATTCGTTTATGTGTAGTACATAGCTATTTTACTTGTAATTTTGTTACATCGTAACATAATAAATGACTATGTATTGGCAAGCCCAGCGATTGTAATTATTTGTTGATTTTGTCTCCAGTCAGCAGCTCTACGGAGGTTCCACTGCTCAGCACTGGTCAGTCTCGCGCAAAGAAGTGCAAAATGTGCGAAAGTACAGAAATCAGGTATAAATTTGTATCACTTAGCTGCTGCAGCTGTTCAGAACACGAAGTCAAGTATGACTAAGTATCTTAATGTCTTACCATTGCTATATAATTACAAAGCATGCGTAGCTGTACTCAATCTGCTCTTATGCTTCCTTTTGTGCCAGAACGTAAAATGTCATTGAATGCGCGAAACTTATCAATTTATAATGTGTTTATAATTATGTTTATTATGAGATTGACTTCACCCCGGTTTTGAACAGCTGGCTAGATTACATTTTTGTCTTCAATAGAATCTGGCATGAATATATCTACTATGTATATTGGTGATTTGTTTAATTTATTACTCAACTGCTTTGAAGTGATTCTATATTATATTGACTTTTATTTATATTAGCATAAGATTGCGTATAGCCTTCTACAAGTAGTAGATAAGTATTGATTGTCATTTTTTAGAATTATGTGAATAAAGTATAAGAACAAATGATTCAAAACGTGCGAAATGTATTGTCATAATATTATTTATAGCCTGTATATATCAGCAATTTGTTTTATTATGTTTATCTTGTAATTACTAGCACAAGCTATTTTATAACAAATTTTAACATGTTCATGTAGGCTTGATAAGAGACTATCGTTCTGACGCTCTTGTGTTTCTCAGGGAGGAGTTGTTGAAAAGAAAGGTTGAAAGCCACAAGCAAAAGGTTGAAGAACTAAACCAAAAGAATAGACTTTTGTGCACGAAGAATGCAAGAATATCATCAGTTGTTGCGGCTCTCTTCAAGCCGGTTAGTATTCATATTTTACAAAAGCGCTGTAACAGGATGTTCCACAATATGGCTACAAAGGTCTGAGACATTTAAATACTGTAGTAGTGTAAGATTTGATAAATTTTATCGAATGCCTTATTATTGTTTTCTAAATTGCTATTTATTCTGAACTGGAAAAAATACTACAAATAGTACACATTCGGATTTTTGGGGAATAGTTATCGAAGGTCTTTTGGGTACAAAAGTAGTATAGGGGTACAGGTTGGTTAAAAATGTGGCAAAATTTAGGCAGCTACAGTCATATCCCAAATACTGTGGGTTTACTATACTAGTCTTGTACTCTTTTTACTGTTGACATTTAAAATCCAAACTTTTATTATAAATGCGAAAGTAACTCTGTCTTTTTTTCACGCCTAAACTACTGAACCGATTTCTGTGAAAGGTCACGTCCAAAAATTATTTTTATTATTTTATAAATCTAACCAGAGTAAGTTAAATATATGTGGATAGACTTCTCAAAACCTAGTGCTTCCAATTAATTTATAGATTTTTTAACACCTCTGTTTTTAAAAAAAGATTTTTTTATATTAGTGAGAAGTTACTCTTAAAATTAACAAACCTTTTTAATTAAATAGAGTGGACATATCCAAAAAAAGAAAATTTGTTAATGTAGACAGTCAATACTATACTATACTATCAATACTAATACTATACTGTCAATACTATAATTTCTAGTTGTATACCAAAAATCTGCAGGAAGTCACTATTCCAGGCCCAAACTATTGGAATAGCAAAGGTTTCTATAAAAATAAGTACTACTGCTGCGGGTCTGGGTGATTGCGCATGCGAGTTTCTGTGTTTATTATCGCATCCAAATCAAAAAAAAAAAAATATAATTTACAATATTGAAAAAAAAATATATGTCGTTACCAATCACGAGACCACAGGGCCAGAGCCAACTGCGCAGAGGCGCTTTAGATATCTTTAATCTAAATGAAATGGGACACAAACCGTCGACTATCTAGTATAAACTTAGACTAGGAATTTATTATTACATTTCTTTAATGATGGGCTATTAGTCTAAAATACGATAAATAATCAAATTAAAGAAAACGTAAACATAATACCTAGTCTAGCCATAAATATTGTAACAAATAAAAAAATATTTTTTTCTATTGCAAATAACATATATTACTTTTACAGTATGTAAGTTTAATACATAAATATAAAACAATTTAAAACAAAAGCTTATTCGAAGTGGTCTCCATTGGCTGCAATACAGTCCTTTAAACTTTGAGGCCAGTTATCAATAGAAGCACGCACTCTTTCCATGGGAAAATTCTTCACTGCCAATCGTAAGGATTGTTTTAGGGAGTCCAAATTATCATGACGTTTAGAACAAGCCCTACTTTCTAAAACTGACCATAAATCATAATCCAGCGGATTAAGATCGGGATTAGACGACGGCCAGTCTTCAGCTCTGATGAAGTCGGAAACGTTCGTTTCCAACCAAGACTGCGTGGACCGAGCTTTATGACCCGGCGCCGAGTCTTGCTGGAAGGACCATTGTTGGTTATTGAACATGGTGTTGTTAACTACCTTCTCAAGAATGGTATTTTGATACACTTGTGCCGATGTTTTGATACCTTTTTCGCAAAAGTATGGCTTAGTCACTTTTTCATAGCTAACACCCCACCCAACCATCACTAAAGTCGGATAATGCCCACGTTGCACTCTGTCGACTAATTGAGAAGCTTCCTTAGAGCTTTGAGCATAAATACGGTCATTTTGTTTGTTAAAATGTTGCTCAATTGTAAAAATTTTCTCATCCGAAAACAAACCTCCCTTTGCGTACCGCTTCAGTAGTTGCTTAGATTTTATCACCCTATTCTTTTTTAAATTATCATTTAAAAAATGTCCAGTGCGTCTCTTATAGGCTGCAAGTCCTAAGTCGTCTTCTAAAATACGCGACATGGTTCTAGGTGCTATCTTCATCTTCCGAGATAAAATCTTTTGCTTTCAGACAGGATTTCTTCGAATTCTTTCCCTTACTGCTTTGACCACCTTTTTCGTACGAACACTCCGTGGACGGCCAGATCTTTTTTTGTCACAAACAGAGGAGGTCTCATTGTACCTATTAATAGCACGGTACACAAACATTTGACTAATGCCAAGCGTGTGGAGAGTTTTAAAAATTGCATTTGGCTCCATACCTACTTTGTGTAATGCAATCACAGCGATTCGGTTCTCTTTATCACCCCACTCCATTTTAATATCGCAAAATATTGAACAATTTATCGGCGCCAAAATAAGAAAACACAATGAAAAATTATATAAAAATGACAGATTCCAAATTCAAATGTAATATTTTGTTTATTTTTAATTGTAACAGTATTTATGGCCAGACTATGTATAGACTCAATAAACTCATGTTACTGATGAAATAAAGAATTAGAAAATAAATATAATAACTTAATAAGCATATTTCTGATAAGCAATGTCAATCGGAGGCCAAATTGTTGCCACTTCAGATTCGACTACATAACTCGAGTAGACTTAATATAATGTCACTGCTCTACGAATGAATAGTTTTAATCAATATAAATATACAAGTAAACATTAATCGTTGATAAATATTGTAAAAAGCAGTGAAATAACACGACGGAATTATTTTTTTGACACAGTAATTACCGGCAGCGGAAGTTTTAATAGTGTTGCCACATTTCGTAGTTCTAAATGTCACCGCATAAGATTTTTCCTGAGCTGTACTATACTATTTTTGTACCTCTCTTAATATACTCATGTCACAAAATTCTCTAAGGTGTACAATATTATTATTGTTGTTTGTTCGTTTCCTATGCCATACCTACCATAGAAGACGTCCGAGAAGCTGAAATATACACACAGTGGCCTGTCGAACAAATTAAATCTATTTATTCGATTATTATTGTAATAACCAATCTAACCAGTTGCACTCTGCATAATTTGTATGCGCTAATTAATGTTTTCTTTTATTTTAGAAAATGCCAGGGAGTAATGGTCTAAATATCATGCCAGAAAAAGAGAACGTAAGTATCATATTATTAAAATATGTCTAACATGTCAATGTTATCTCTTAACTTCTGGGGTTCAGTGGCGTTTTACTATTATACGGTATACCATTTCAAAACTTCCTGTTAGTATTTTTTTGTAATTATAGACACACATGTATGTTAAGCAAACCAAAGGGAATTAAAACATAACTAAACTTTTGTTTCCTATTTCAGGGATTGATGGCTACCCCCAACTTCATGACGTTCCTGGCCAAAATGCTGTTGAACGCCGAGTCAGTGGTACCACCAGATGCCTCGTGATATAGATAGGGGTTGGTAACCGAACTGAATGTAGATATAGTAAGTAGGTATGAACTTAGAATAATTAAGAAAAAATGTATACAAAGCTGACAAATGCTAAAACCTTTTTAACTAATCATATGTTTTGTTACAAATGAAGAAAAATATGTTTTATTGTCACGATGAAGTTATTAACTGAAATGCAGCACGATTTCAGTACGGCCGACGTATCTTGGCGATCTGAAGTTAGCTGTTTGTCTGCGCAATGGATATTTTAGGAACAAAATTGTGTACTGCGCAGCTACTCGGCTAACTTCAGACTCGCCAAGATACGTCGGCGCTATTGTACAATAGATAATCATATGATATAGTAGCCCAAAGAGATTATTTTTATGACTATGCAGGATTCTAGAGGGGGTTTTGTAACATTATTTGGGACTGACTCGAGTTATCTATTAAAATCCTAACGTTTTTAAATGTTTTGTTATATTCTAGAGCAGTATGAGAGTAATATGACTAATAATTTTTATATGACAAAAACAATTTTTTACACTTAAAATCACACCTTACCAAATCTGATTCAGAAAAAACTGGTTTGGCCTAGGCTAAACTAGTTCAAGCAGACGATATGACAATCCGACATGGTAGACAGATAGGTTAGGATGGAATGGTTAGATTACTTGAAACCTTGCGGACAGAAATAGGAGCCCAGTACTCCGGCTTCGTCACTATGCACTAATTTAGATTTTGACAATCCGAAAACTGTCCCACGGAATAACCAACACCCAGTTATTAATACACACATCTCGCAACTGTTGTCAAAGTAAAGAACATTTCTTCCTACTTACCATAATATTACATTCGAAATGTCAAATAGAAAAATAGTCCATCAGTCTGTTCGTCAGTAAACCAGGTGTTCATTCCAGGTAGTTTAAATTCAAATAACAGTGACAACAATGTAATGTCCAGTCTTCTGTAAAATTATAATAAAAACATTACATACATAATTTCAATTGGTACCATAAGATAGGTGTCACACGTCATAAAAATACATTTATACTATATTCTTTGGCTATTTATATTTATTTGCATCTTTAACAGTCAATTCTCCACTTTGTTTAGTATGTAGTTTATAATATTTGTGTATTGAAACAATAAAACATTAAACGCCTTTACATCGGTCAGATTTTTGTAGACAGCCAGCCAGTAGTCAAGTTGTATTTCTAGAATTTATGAATAAAATAATCTCTGTTGTCTTAAACTATTACCTTTTACCTACCTATTACTACACAGAGTAACAAAAACACATTTTAAAAAATCAACAGGAATTACCAACGCTAATTTTCATTTATTTTATCTAAGAGCGGTTTTTCGTTACTGCTGCAGAAAATAATGTCACATTCGGCGAATGCGCTATTAACGCGCATCGTATAGACGTATTTCATATTTCCATGAAATACGTCTATACGATGCGATAGTTATCATAAAAAAATATATTTACAGGTCACGCTGGCTATATAATCTTGAACACGTGATAAAAAAAAAAACAATAAATTTGATAAAACAATAATTCACAGTTGCAATTAACTATCTATACATAAATATGTTGCAAACTACCCTTAATAAAAATGTTTTAAACTGAAGTCGGATATGGGCTCTTGTTATTCATCAATTAACCAGACCAAACATCTGATATGTTGATATTGATTGGTACAAGAAGTTCTTAATGGAAAACTTAATAAGAACACAAATACTCCCCATATTTCAAAATGTCAAAGCTTCTTTTTTTATTTTTTTTTATCGCATTAATAACTTCGGCAATTATGGACATTCAACTTGCCTGTTTACAAGGCTATCTAGTATTCAGTGGCAATATCAAGAAGCAATAAATAAGCCATATTAGATTATAAGATACATACTTATCTCTAATACAAGAATACTTATTTTGTAATAATATATATATTTTTTCTTAGTAATTTGTAACAAAACATATGTCTGACGGTAAACAAACATCTTAAAAAAACCTATTTAACAATAGCTTTTTCATAAAGAGATGACGAATTAGGACATTAACGGTGAATAAACTAAAACCTTCTACATCTAGATTTTTTGTAATCTGTCAAAAACTCAACAAAGTTTGATATTCATGTTTTTATTAAATCTCTACTTAGTAATAATCTTGAAACATACTAATGAAAATAACGACTGAGAAACGCTCTTCCAGTTTAAAGTCACGACGGGGCTCTTTTTCACGCAGCTGGAATTGCGCCTTCTACCGTCAAAGGCGTGCGCTTGCTTCCAACTGCAACGGTGCGGTAGCGTTGGTGACGATGTTGACCGGCTCGTTCAGCGGCGATGGGTTAGGTTCGATTCCTGAGTCAAATCAGTGTTACATGCCACGCTTATTGTGGGATTGACTTTGGGATTGACGTAGATTTTAGGCTCTGTTTCCAAGCGTTTGCCGGCCCAGCCGCGTGATCACACGACTTGTCTTATCAATGTGTCTCATTTTGACTTGAAACTGGTTGAGTTTTTCTCAGTTAATTCACGTTTTCTTTTAATATTCAATATTACTTTAGTTACATATGTAGCAAAACATGAAAAGTAATCAAACGGAATATAATTCAAAGTTTTATAATCTACTATATCATCGAAATATTTCTAAATTGTTTCTAAGCCCAAATATAAAGAACAGCCGAAACGACTTCCCAATTCTTTTAGGTCGTGTCTGTAATTGTAAGGAAAATGTTCTTAGAAATAAAGGTATAGATGCAGGGTATAAGGCTGGAGATGGAAAGGTGTGGGGGGAGGGGGGGTAAAAGTCTAGAACTTTGTTGTTGACAGGTTACAAAAAATATCATGTGACAGACAGATTCTTCGAAGATTATACACTCATGCATAGGTTTATATGATAAAGGTATTGTTTCAGAGGGTACGATTATCTTGTAGCTCGGTGAAATTGAAATACTAAGAGGTCATAGATACAATATATTGTCTCATTATTGTTCATAAATGTTAGACATAATATTAACAGTTCAAATGTTTCCAATTTTTATGACACACTCTATCTATACTTAGGTTAATAAACTAAATAATATTTTACTTGCTGTTACTTAATGGACAATAGGAAGGACTGGGAGTTTGAAATCTAACACAATTTACTAAAATACTCAAGAAACAAACGCAACAATCCGTTTAGTTTAGTCTTAGATTTTGAAAACCTGGTCCTTAAGATTCGATTAATAAGTTTGATTTCGATCTCAAACCGTTTTCTCTGGAATGAAATGATATTCGGACGGGGCTGTTGTTGACGTCTAGTTATTAATGAAAATGAACATCAACTCGATTTACTAACAAAAGCGCGAAATACGAGTTACTGATGAACCGTCCACGCCACGTGACCTTGTGCTATTGAGGATATTTACAAGAGTGCTATTATGTATAGCTCAAATATTTTTTATTATATTGTTACCTAACAATAAAGAAGTTTTGTTGATACATGTAAGTAATTAACTAATAATTATTAACGTTTATCGATTTCTTACTTTAAAGCTGGCATTGTCTTTAGATAGCATTCAATGTTTTGTTCGATGAATAAATCGAATAATCGAATCAATGTACCATATAAGTACTGTATATTTTATTCTATGACTTGACCATCTCGCTCTTATCGGTTAGGACTTAATATTTGTCAACTTCGAATACAATTAAAAGTGTGCGAAATAGTTTTTACTAAATCACCCACATTAAAATTATAGTTATTTCATTGGTAAACATAACTAGCAAATGTTTCGAGGGAAAATGAAATAATATAAGATAGGACTGACCTCATGATTATAAGTATATTTTAATTTGATTCTAGAATATTTCAAAGTACAGTAATTGATATTTTATATGTTTTATATTTCAACAAGAAATACTTTTAAGTGAATAGAACAAAATATGTTCTAAATAATATAATAATCCTCTCAAACATTAATTTAACATATTTTTTAGGAAACCTTTTGACTACTGCGGGTGTGTATATCCGAATAACGAAAACTTATTACTAATTCTAATGATAACAAGCAACCTTTGCCTTAGAAAGCTATGTTATTAACACATTTTAAATGAGACAGACATTTCCTTATATATAAATGAGCCATCACATGCCCTACTATGTATGCGGACATACGCTATCGCGGTAGTCAACAGGTGGACAGGAAACAAACACGTAACTGTGTCCGATGTAGCCGATCTCTTAGGTAGAATTTTCATTTTATTTCTGTTATCTAAAATAACGACTTACTCAAATTTATTAAATGTAAAAACTACTGCTGTTTAGGCTGCGCGCGTCTCCCCGACGGCCACCCTGCTTTTTATATTAGGGTGACCGTCGGGTAAGTTTCCTGTTGTGACTAAATACTAGGAAAGCTTTCCACACTTAATTCCCAAAGTAAGTCGTTATTAATAAATTCACAATTGTAACTACTAATTTTTATTGTATCTTTCTATTATATGTAATTGTAATTATAATTAATAGTAATTATTAAAAGTAAATAAATAATGAATGAATGAATATTTTTTTGGGATTTATTGAATTGTAAAATCTGTCAACAACTATTATTAAGTAATTAATTCTTCAGTGTGTTTGATCTGTAATTGATTTTTTTGTGATTGAACGTTTTATGTGTTTGTAATAAGTGTTTTTCCTAAACTGTATATGTAGCAATCTGTGTGTGCGTACGTGTGGCTGTTAATTTGTATTTTAATACATAGCACTACAATTAGTTAGTATAATGTTGTTTGTTTTATTGTAATAAACATAAGTAGTTGATTAAATTGAGTATTTTCTTTAATAACTGTTGTTTGATATTCGTTTTTCAAAAAAACCTTATGAAATGTGAATGTATTGCAAAACAATGAAGAGCTGATAAATATCAAAAGTTCTCGCCACTATAAAAATGTAATGAAGTGTAAATATAAGTAATTAGCAGCCGTTATTTTGTACTAATTTGTTATAATATTGCAAACAAACGAACCAAGCAATCCCATGGTCGTAACATTTTTAGCATGTCCATCAAACTATGACATACTAGAACATAATTTATTTATGACTTATTTTCTCAAATAACTAATCAAAAAGTGAGACAAACAAAATAATATCCAAATAGACAAATAATCAATATTTAACTATGAAAACATACTCCTTCCTCTTTATTTTTATTTTTGGACACAACATTCAC